AGACGTAAGAGTGGAGCAGAAAGTATCAGTAGCACTTTTAACATCAAGAGATGATAACTGTTCAGGGGAAGGAAGCAAAGATGAAACCATAGCAGATAGCCGGGAAGGTGAGAGTGAGCGTAGGTTACGTCGAAAAGAGACATGTGTAGCGGTATGTGTTGTGTCAGGAACCATATTAACAATATGCTCAATTAGCAACTTATAAGTCTGCGATCTGCCGTAAAGCAAGAAGAAGAAGATGCGAACGCACTCAGGACAGTTCAGACATTGCGGTGAATCAGAGGTAAAAAACAATATAAATACTGTTCAGTTTCTTGCACAGACCGATTGTCTTGTGTCTTTACACATCAATGTATAGTCACGAGCCGCAGGGTTTAATTTGTTTTTGTTTGTGTATGTTTTTTTGACTCTCAAAGCTGTGATTCCTATTCACTTCCATTATAAGACTGACAGACTGCAACGGTTTGAGTTAAAAGTCTTCATTTGTGTTCTACTGAAGAAACAAAGTCACCTACATCTTGGATGCCAAATGGATCAAATTTTAATTTTTGGGTGAACTATCCCTTTAAGTTTATTTTTCGACCCTATCCCATTTCAATCATTAACTCGATTCATTTTGATCAATTTCTTAGTAAACAAGACTTGTTTTGTTAATTTGCATCCCAAATAAATGTATCTCCAACACCTTTTGCAGTTAAACACTTATATTTAGCAATTACACAAATCATGTTAAATGACAAATGCCGGCTCTAAGACTGTCACACATGTTCCGTTCTGTGTCTTGTTTTGGACTTTTATATTGTAGTTGTAGTTCCTTAATTTCCTAGTTCCTGTCCTAGTCTGTTTGTAGTTTCTTTGCTAATTAGTTAATTGATTGTTTTCAGCCTGATGAAGGTATCCATATTCATGTCTTCTGTGATTAAGGTGAACACAAAGATAAGAGGGGACTGGATCCAAATGCAGATTAACAGTTTAATGAAAATAAGGTAAAATGCAAAACAATAGGAGAACCAGAACAAAGCAAAAACACAATGCAAACAAGAACCGGAACAGAAAACACAAACAGATCATTGGGCAGACAACCGAGACTTAACAAAACACAAAGAAACACAAGGGCTATTTTTAAATGTTATAATAAACAGACACCTGTAAACAATCAATGAACTAATCAACAAAGAAACTACAAATAGACTAAAAGACTAAGACAGGAAACTAAGAAACTAGAACTACAACATAATAGTCCCAAACAACTGGGAAATATGTTACAAATATGTGAGTCAACAGGAAGTTCAGAACAACTGAAAATACAATAAGAGCTCAAATTAAATTAATTTGGTGACATTACATATGCATGCATACAGTACACATGTATGGCTAAATGTTCTCCTAAAGATGACTACAGGGGGCTAAAGCGTGTTTTAAGGAGGTGGATAAGCGTGTTTGTATTGTGACTGTTTTAACAGTTGTATATGTACTAGAGAAATATGCAAATATTTATATAATATAATATAATAATAATATACTGTTTGTTATTTATAGTTGTAGGTGTAGTATGATCGTAATGGGAGGCAGGATGTTTGCCTTTTCATGTGAGTGTCTGAATTTAAAATGAACAAGTTTTATTATAAGATTTAAGATTGACCATTTACAAAAATAAAACTTTATAGTGTTTTAAAATCATTTAAAGCTTGAAAGTTTGTGCACTGATTTTCACAGCCAATAACGTTCTATATTTTTAAGGGAAAAGCACATATCCACCACCCTTGGCATCTTCATCATCATCATCATCATCATCATCATCATCATCATCACCATCATCAATCACAACTCCACCTATTTCACTAAATTCCCAGCCATCAACATCTGATTTCACACTGAGTTCTCCGTCTGTCAATGGTATTCTGGTGATCGATACATTAATTTTCACTCATTTACCTGCAGGCATCAGAGAGAATCAGGCTCTCGTTGTGTTTTCTCTCAGGCTCGTCTCTGATCATCGGTGTGTCTGTGATTCTGCTTCTGCTCATCATTGGACTCGTTTCATGTATAGTTACTCTCTGCAAGAATAAGCGTCAGGCTCGAGATAAAGGTGGGTTTGTCTTAAAATCAAATCAACTAGTTCCACGACTTCCTTTGCATGCCATTTGTAAGTCATTTATAAGTTTGTTAGAGTGATTTGTTAATGAGAATAATGTTTACAGTTGTTTGCCAGTGAATGACATGCTTGGCTAATGAATGAGTGGATGGAAAGATGTTGTTTCCCCCTGCTGGTCACAACTGATATATGTGCAATATTATTGAATGTGAGTTATTATTATTACTATATTTAATATAGTATATTTGTTTTTACAGACCCTGATTCAGCCTCTAACATATCTGAACCTGGAACCGAAAACAGTGAAGCGGTTTGTGAAATCAAATAGTTTGATAATAATTAATGTTTGAATGAATGACCTTCATCAAAATCTGTTAATAATATCTCATTATCTTCTTAGGTTCCTCAAATGCCTTACATTTATGAGGAGATTAAAGACACCAGACTTCACACTGACTGCAAAACTTCCCAATTACCCACAGACCCCTCTGGTTCTATTACCACAGTTTATGCTACTCCACAATTACCCACAGACCCCTCTGGTTCTATTACCACAGTTTATGCTACTCCACAATTACCCACAGACCCCTCTGGTTCTATTACCACAGTTTATTCTACTCCACAATTACCCACAGACCCCTCTGGTTCTATTACCACAGTTTATGCTACTCCACAATTACCCACAGACCCCTCTGGTTCTATTACCACAGTTTATGCTACTCCACAATCACCCACAAATCCCTCTGGTGAGTGGGATAAACAGTGTAAGAATCAGTTACCTACAAATCCAACTGATTCTTGCACTCTTTATGCTACTCCAGGATTACCCATAAATCCCTCTGATTCTACTAAAACAGTCTCTGCGTCTCCACAATTACCCACAAACCTCTCTGATTCTTCTAACACTGTTTATGCTACAGTTTAACAGTGCAGGAGTTCATGTGATCCAGTGATTACAGTAAATGCATATTAGTTATTGACCATTTCAGTTTGTTGCTGTACCAGCTGAAGTGATTTATGGACATTTCTCAATATGCTTAAAATGTGTGTGTATTTGTGTATAACTATGAACAACATAAATATAATTGTTTTATAACAATACAGTGTTATTATTTTAGCATCAAATTGCATCAATAACTAATGTTCTTGTTCTTACAAACTCAGCAGCAGCTCAGCGTGTCTGTCCACATAAACTGCATTATGAATTGATCTACGTTTCAGTTTCATACACAGCACTTGAAGCTCAGTTATTCAATATTATAAATCATTTCTGAAGTGTAAATTCATGTTGATGAGAACAGGAGCTCATCTGGACAGACTGTGAATGTGTGTGTGTTGAATATGAGCTGCTGTCCGTGGTGCTGAAAATCATCTGAACACTAGAGCGAGCAAGTTTTGATCAGTTTCATGTCATTCAAGCAAGTTTGGAAAACTCAAGTTTTGATTTTTATAAATGTGAATTCACGTATTCAGCTCTCGAAGGTTAGTTATTTAGCATATATGAAGTGTCATTTCATCAGACCGTGTCTGTAAATGTGATTGTGTTGAATCTGAGCTGCTGTCCATGGTGCTGAACATAATCTGAAAACACTAGAGTGAGCCGCTTGACTCTCTCTCTCTCTCTCTCTCTCTCTCTCTCTCTCTCTCTCTCTCTCTCTCTCTCTCTCTCTCTCTCTCTCTCTCTCTCTCTCTCTCTCTCTCTCTCTCTCTCGTCTCCCTCTCTCTCTCTCTCTCTCTCTCTCTCTCTCTCTCTCTCTCTCTCTCTCTCTCTCTCTCTCACAATGCATCAGTGACGGGACAAAAACAATCCCTAAGTTTATGAAGAAAGTTCAGATAAATAACGGTTTAATTGAGGTTTAAAAGTCCTCATCTGCTTGACTTTGTGGAATAGATGTAGACAGTCAGTCACTGAACTTACTTAAAACTTTCTTCTTTCTATATTTATTGTTAAGTTCTCAGACATTTACAGCTTTTGCAGCTGTATGTTATATTGTGCTCATTACAGACGTTATTTGGGTATTTTTGATTACTTATGTGAAATGCAGGCAGTGGCAGTTTTGAAAGAGGCAGTTTTGTATAGCTAAACAGTTGTGTGTATGGTCAGGCAGTTGCTCTACACTGCCGTTACATACAGGACAAAGTGCTTTGACTAATTAAATGACATGGAAACAGACACAGAAAAACAAAAACAAACACATGAGAGCTTCACAGCTTTGTGTCTCATCTGTGATTCAAATCATAATACAGGCGAACCTACAGTTTATGGACAAATTAATTCATGTGTAAAATTAAACTCATTTTTATTTTATAAGAAACTTCTTTTTCTGCAGAACTGAATGAGGAAAATGAGGCTTTTATTTGAATATGGGAGAAGGGAAGTGAAGTGAAAATGTGAGAAGTGTGTTGACTTACTTCTTTCATGTCACTAATGAAGTTTTTTTTTTTTTCATTCAAAGCGACATGCTAGTAACTTGCTAATCATGCTTGCGACATGCTAGTCACTTGCTAATGGTGCTAGCAACATGCTAGTCACTTGTTAATCATGCTGGATACATGCTAGCGACATGCTAGTCACTTTTTAATCATGCTAACAACATGCTAGTCACATCTTAATCATGCTAGTGACATGCTAGTCACTTGCTTATCATGCTAGCGACATGCTAGTAACTTGCTAATCATGTTAGCGACATGCTAGTCACTTGCTAATGATGCTAACAACATGCTAGTCACTTGTTAATCATGCTAACAACATGCTAGTCACATGTTAATCATGCTAGCGACATGCTAGTCACTTGCTTATCATGCTAGAAACATGCTAGCGACATGCTAGTAACTTGCTAATCATGTTAGCGACATGCTAGTCACTTGCTAATGATGCTAACAACATGCTAGTCACTTGTTAATCATGCTAACAACATGCTAGTCACATGTTAATCATGCTAGCGACATGCTAGTCACTTGCTTATCATGCTAGAAACATGCTAGCGACATGCTAGTAACTTGCTAATCATGCTAACAACATGATAGTCACGTTAATCATGCTAGCGACATGCTAATCACTTGCTAATCATGCTAGAAACATGCTAGCGACATGCTAGTAACTTGCTAATCATGCTAACGACATGTTAGTAACTTGCTAATCATGCTAACGACATCCTAGTAACTTGCTAATGATATTAGCAACATGCTAGTCACTTGCTAATCATGCTATAAACATGCTAGCCCCTGCAACACCCTAGCAACCACTCCAAGTACCTTAGCAACCGCATAGCAACAACTTAGCAACCACCCCGTGTACCCTAGCAACAACCTAGCAACCACCCCGAGTACCTTAGCAACCACATAGCAGCACCTTAGCAACCACCTTAGCAACCACCCCGGGTACCCTAGCAAACGCATAGCAACACCTTAGCAACCAACCCGGGT